GCCTAAGAAGAAGACCGTCGGTTGTGAACCAATTCAAATAACATCAGAGGCCTTATCTTATCTATTCATTTTTCTTCTTTGAGCGACAGTAAGTTAAGCCTAATTCAAAGACATGGCCCCGCCATCCAGGTGTATCCAAAGAACACACGTTGTCAAGCATGCGTAGATCCAGGGGAAACGTTTATGTAATGTATCACAGCGCGGCGTAATCATCACGCCCCGTCAGTTCTTTAATTTATTTTTGTTGTTGCTGTTGTTGAGAACGTTGGGAGTTGTTCGTTAAATAAACACAAATAATATAATAATAGCAATAATAATAGCAATTGAATTTATTGAGCGCACATCCATGCTCTACAGCATGCTCTTTGCGCTTTACAACTATTATTACCCCAGCAGACCCTATGAGAACACTCAGAACCATTCTCGGCTTCCGAAGACGCATTCTTAAAGCCTGTTTGTTTGCCTTCCTATTGCTTGAAAGAAGAAAAAAAACGGTCCTATCTACAAATACAATAGAAGTCGTGATATAATTTGCGACTGAAAGTGGTGTGTGTATGGAAAAAGGGTGAGACGGGGAGGGGGGGGATGTCTGGTGTCTAATGCAAATGGCCATCAGAGTTTGGTGACCTCCAAAGCTGGAGTGTTCTTGCAGACTGGAAATGTATTTGTTTTTGTGTCTTTTTAATTTTTAAAAATTTTTCTATTATCTTTTGGTAAGTGTTTTACGGCGCTAGCAACTGCATAAGGCCATATGAGCGCACGGGACACATTAAACATTTTTCAGTAGGTTGGAAATTTTGAATTTTGCCCAGATGGCGGCCGATTTAGGATCACCAAGGGATCTTTAGCGTGTGGAACCTGCACACAGTAACTGCGAGATTTTTCGCCCTTATCCGAGAATGCTAGGTGTTACATCTTTCCTACCATAAGTTCAGGGGTGTGGATGAAAGACAGTAGTGAGAAAGAGCCGAGCAGTAGCAGTAGAAAGGCTGCAGGAAGAGTCAGGAGCCCAGAGGAGGGGGCTAAGTGGAAGGTGGAGGGAACATATGACAGAACAAGGTTAGAAACAGGAAAGGAGGTGAAGGGAGAAAATTTTAGAGGAGGCAATTGAATGAGAGGCGAACACCGAAACCTTTAAACAACGATCGAGAGCCC